AGAAGAGGGCATCTCCTGTACGGTAATGGATATCATATTGCAAATGACGGATGTGCGTACATTTTAAGATGGGCTGAAATGAATCCACGGTCGAGTCGAAATACTGCTTTTCGGCATTTCTGACGTCGTGATTTTTTAGTTCTGACATATTTCGAAAATGATTTGGTCAACCGTTCATGTTGGAACATCTGCATGGATGAAATGTATTGTACGTGTACTCCAGTCGAATTATTGTGCGCATTACCGACGGAATTCTTCATCGAATGAATTCCATGATTCTGGAAATTACTGCGTATTCCGATTTGTCAACTCTGAGATGATTCTTATCACAGTTGACGACTGACGCGAGTTTTTCATTTTTTTTTCATGGAATTCCCTACCAAGTAAAACGAAGATACACACACGCGTGCATCGAAGAGTTGAGTGTTCGAAAACGGTACACGGAAAATTCTCAGAAACCATGATTCAAATATCGAGTGTTGTTGCTATGGACAGGATAAATTTGGGCCCTTGACCGTCCGCGACCCAAGGTTTCCTTCCACAGACAAATTTTCTATACGAGTTGTATTATACAGTATCTGAGTGTGTTTTTCAATAATTTTCGTTGGTGCCAAAAAAATGATCTAGAATTCTCCACCCTTCGTCTTCAGAATGTTCGGGTCATTCGGTGGCCAGGGTTTTTCCCGTCTCCGAGTAGAACATCGCGTTCAGTCGTTAGTAGCTTCATTCCGTGTTCTGATATTTTTTCGTTCTTGTGAGAAAACCCTTTTTTTTTCTTCGTCTAAAATTGTGACTCAATTGACGCCGAAGAACTATTTGAACCGAGGGAGTTAGATTGAAGGTCGTGAGTTCTTTAAATTGGAATTGTTTCCAAGACTAACGCGTGATCTTCTTTTCCCATGATCAGTGACCTTTCTGAACAATTATTTTGTAAACCGTCCGAAACTTCGTCTAACTCTGAGTAAGACAAAGTATTGTTCACTTGTAAATCTATGAATTCTCTCTGTCTTCGAAAAATTGTTGTTCAAAATATACGAGTGTTTTCAGAAGATTGGTAAACAGCATTTTACAAGTTATGTACCATATTATACTTTCCATTCTCAACAGACCTGCACAATAACACTGAAAGACGAAGCATGGAAACGTTTCTCACGTTCATTTATTAGAAAGAATTCCTGGTACAGTACTTGAATCGGAACTACACTAGTTTTAATTTTTTTTTCACGGAAACTTATTACGAGATGGGTTTGAACTATTTCGAATGCGCGACAGTTTGAAATTTGATCAATTTCTTCCTTTGTGGAGCGAAGTTCGATCAGTCACGCTTGTAATGGTCAGTCACGAATGTCACGATTCACGAACTGGACTACATACCTTGAATTGCTTTCAAAACTAGAGCAGCAAAATATTTTCGCGATGTTTATAAAAACAAGTTTGTAGTTGACCGATGGAGACGTTATGAAATGTCGAACTAGAAAAATTTCGGTAGCCGCTTGGAAAAATGCCTACGTAAAGGTTATTTTTTGTTGTTGTTGTGACAGTGATGCCATTTATTGAATTATTATTCGATCATTCCGCTGATGTCGGGGACTTGACGAATGATCTCGTATCAATAGCGGTGAAATGGGTGTTTGAAAAATGAACGAAGAAGAGTTTTATGTGCGATTCTCCAAACAGTATCTCTACGACAAACACGAGAATCAGTATCTCGACTGCAGCAGCGTCGTCGCAATAGGTAAGCAATGTTTTTTTTTCTGAATTCACGTGAGTGTCTTCGTAATTTGATTTAGAAAAAATGTAATCCTAGTAATTCGAAAGAACATTGGGAACAAATTTCAGAAGGGCGGCACGCTTACCAGAAATACGTTCGGAGAATCAATTTCCGTAATCTTTTGAGTAATGATGGGAAAATGGTGTGGCATTATATTCTATGTCATAATGTGCCAATTTCAATTTCAATGGCGTGTTTCATCGTTTTTGTGCGTGCTACTCGTATTTCCTCGCGTAAGACGTGCGAACTTTTTCTTCTTGTTGCCGAGAAGGATTTTTACATGATGTGAGATTATATTTTCAAACTTGTGTGATCAGAGTGAAATGCGAACATATGCAGAAGGAGCCTGTCGAGTGAACAAAGAAAGTGTTCAAATTGCAATTTCAATAGTGTTCTTCGTGGTGTTTGTGCTTGCTACTCGTATTTCCTCGCGTAAGACGCGCTAACGATTTTTTTTTTTTTTTGCCGAGAAGGATTTTCACGAGAATCGAGATTTGTTTATTGAAACTTGTGTGCGTAGAGTGAAACGCGAACAGATTCGGAAGAAACCTAACCAGTGAACGGAGATTGTGTTGCAATTTCAATACTGTACTGTGCTTGCTACTGGTATTTCCTCGTATTAAGACGCGCAAACTCGTTTTTTTTTTTTTTTTTCCGAGAAGGATTTTCAAACTGTCCCTGCTTGTATATGACGCAGATACGCGTTTTTCTCACCACATTTTAAGAGGGAAAAGGAGCTTTCGATAAATTTTGATTATTAACCGTGTCGGTTTCTGTCTCCTTGTTTGTTTCAGTTGGTCATTCACATCCTCGGATCGTAGCATGTGCTNTCTCATGCGATACGAGCGTGAGACTCGAAAAACTTGGAAGAAGAGGAGCAATTTCGGCCCATCTATTGTCTGTTTTTCCTCGTCCGCGGCTTTTTTTGTGAATTGTGTTTTATTTTATTCAGCTCAGATTCGTTTATACATGTGAAGCTGTGTAAAAAATATTTAAATCACATTTGCACCCATTGATTAGAATGTGAAGAGTGAAGTTTGAATTTCTCGCGGATGATCGTCGTCCGTGTTCCAGATCACACGAAATTGCATCTCCACTCGGATCGAATGGAATATTTTGTGCAAATTCTTCAGAGCGATGGCCTCTGATTTTTCATTTTGATTCACATCCAGTTTAAAAAACGTGGAGATTGTTTGATCGAATCTCGCCGCAGACTTGGAACGAAGGCTGCGTTTTTCTCCGATCATCAGTTGATCGAATATGAACTTGTGCTCTTTTCAAGTGTTTTCAAAGTTTCTTTATTTTTCTCTGTGTATTTTTGCAGATGCGGAAGCGAATGACCTGGCCATCCGTTTATCTAGTCAGATCACGTTTTCCAAGAACATACTCGCTTTTGCGGGTACGTTTGTGGAATTGCACCAGTTGCCGGCCACTGTGAGGCATGCCTTCGTTGTTGCCAACAGCGCGGATGGGACCGAAGATGCGTCGAAAGGTACGTGTTCTTTTCTTTTTTGTCTCTTTTTTGGATTGTCAAACTGCAGAAAAATATTGGAGTGTTGATTCCATGTGTTAGTTTTGAAGACAAAATGTGAACACCTTTTGAGTTCGTGTGCTTCAGTGAGTTCAGTCCGTTTCCGCGGTACCAGAGTTTGGTTACGAATTTTAGAGCTTGGGTGTTTTTATTTTGACGTTTTAGTTACAGTCGAACTTCAAGAAACCAGCGGGGGAAAAAGGGGTCAGGGGAAAAAAGTATGTTGGTTGGGGAGAGAGAAATGAGAATTGCAGGAAATTCAAATTGGTGACGCTGTATTCTGGGCCTCAAAATGTTTTTTAAATGAGTCGAAAGGATGTTGAATCTGGAGGCAAAGGTTCAGTTGCCCAATTGGTCTTTTGTTTGCTTCCTTTCAGATCACATCAAGTTAAAATTTTTATCTTCTTTTTTTTCTTTGTCATTGAAATATTTTGATTAACATTTGATTAACAATGCGTAAGAGAACGTGAAACAGATGAGGGAACATAACCAAGTGCAGTATATTGTAGTCATGATATTTATTGGACTACAGTATCAAGGCTCAACTGTGATACCAATTTTTTAGGTCTTCCAGGGGTTCTCTTTAGAAAAGATTTCCTGTTCCCCTGAATTTTGGTACAGTTCATCCATCAGTGTACAATATTTAGAGAAGTACCGCATGTCCTTGAGGAAGAGACACACACCAGTTTTTTTGTTGGTAAAATTTTAAAAATCCCGTTTCTGCAAAGAATAGTAACCTTACTTTCAACTGTTTCAGTCTCCAAAATTCATTTTTGAAAAACCACATTAGTTAGCTCTGTAATTCCTCAGAATTTTGTTGGCTGTACTTTTGAACCTCTTCAAGTTGCACTTCAAGGAACCAGCAAAAAATTATAATTTGGGAGGTTTTTTTTAGCCATTTTTGGTTGGAAATGGAAAGAAAGAATTACAGAGTACTGTATTAAAATTAGTGATCTTTTGGTGACTTAAACTGCAGAAAAAGTGAATTGACAGGATGCTAAACTTGGAGTTGAGGGTTAATTTGCCAAATTAAGTTGCTCACTTCTCTTTGAACACCATCTTTGCGCCGGATGGTACCTTTAGACTGCGTTCTGCAGGCTGTTGAGAATTTGAAGAAGGAAGGAATCCATTTTTCCTGCTTCCTCATCGAACCATTCCTTTTCATGGACGAAGTCGGATTCCTGCAATATCCCCAGGGGTTACTGAAGACCATCACAAGGTTTGATCGTTTGAATCTTCCGCATTTGCCACTTTTTATCAATTTTTTATATTTTTTCTCTGGGTGCCTAATTCTGAAGTGGTTTCTCGAATTTCTGTGGAAATCTTCATAACTTCTTGCGTGTATTCAGAGTATTTTTGTTCTTCTTGGGATTGAAAAATTTGCGATGAAAGAGCTTAGATTAAATTTTCTGTGGATGAACTCGTTATTTTGAAAGGATATGCTGATGAAACCCAGCTGTCACGTAAATTAATTTTTTTCAGTTGATGTGTGTGGTAATTTTGAGTGCATATGAGAATGAAAACGTTTATTTATAATTCGACGATATTCTTTTGCGGGAGGAGTCATAAGTTTTTTCTTTGCCATCCACAATTGATGGAATCATTGGTGAACATTTTTTGGAAAATTATATATTTTTTCAACGTAATTTCTGTGATTAAAGCAATTTATTTTGAATCATTTAAGCAATTTTTCGAATAATTCCGACGCAATCGGATTTGAATTTTGCTCAATATTCGACAAAGATGCTCACGTTTTCAAGGGTTAAGGGGGGAATGATGAGTTCTTCATTTCCTTATTTCGACTGCATTTATATTTGTTGTCGAATTTAATGAGACCGAAATTGAATTTTGAATGGCTTAATTCTGTACAGTCAAATCCTGTTGAGATTCCGCTACCTTTGAAAACTGCTGAAATATTGCACGGAACGATTCTTCCTGAGGTTAAATAGCCTAAATCCCGAGAAAACGTAAATAAAATGTGTGTCACCAAAATTAATGGCAAAGCAAAAGTCGGTTTGGACATTTATTTTGTCTTCATTCTGCCAATTTTTTGAGTAGGATTGTTTGTGGTTTTTTCCCATAGAACTCCCATTTTAAAAAAAGAGGGAAAATGGGGTATTTCAGAATACGGTGATGGATGCATTCATTGCATGTATAGAGTAGATTCTCGTCTCAACGATATCTCTTCATAACGAACAATCGCTTACGACGAAGTCACTTTCTTTAGGCCCTTGTCAAATAGTCACAATGTTGAATGAGTTGCTGGATACATGATTTTTGCTTCGTTTTATACATGTTTTAAAGTTTTCATTATACTTTGAAATGTAGTAATCATACAGTTCATTTTTTTGAAAGAGTTTTGAAATTATGTGCAGTACCGTTTTTTTTTTTTTTTTTAAAAAATGGTATCTTCAATAAACTGCGAAATCCTTCTCTGAACAAATGGTGGGGTCTCATTGGTGTTCGACTGTACGGTACAACTTCAGGCGTTTTTGTTATGATTAACAAACTGAATCATGGACTCGATTGGAAAAGGAGTTCTCTTTTTTTAAAGTAGTGTACAGGCGGATTTCTCCCTAAAACGATCTTGCGTGTGTTTTTCTTTGGTCCCGCTGAGTTAACTCCCATGATATTGGGTTTTTTTTCTACCAACGACAAAAAATTATCTCAGCAGTACAACGATTATTATTTTGTTTCCTCGTTCCTTGAATTTCTTTACGTGGAGAGAGTCCACCTGTAATTTCGTGATCTTGTTTTCTTTGCCTAGTTCGTTGCTGAAGGACACGAAATGCCTCACGATCGTGGACGAATCTCGGACTGGTCTCGGAAGGCTCGGCACTGGGATGTGGGCTTTCACTGACATCGGGATCCTGCCGGACCTGGTGGTAGTGGGTGTGATTTTAGGAAACGGGTTCCCACTCTCGGCTGTGCTCACATCCCGGCAAATCGCTGCCGCGGTACCCAAGTATTATTCTACGGTATGACTTGACTATCCTTATGCTTGGACTTAACTTTTGGTTTTACAGTACCGAGAGTTGTCCCACTCGGGCGCGACCTTGTTTATTTCTGGGTTAGACACGACTGAAAAAAGCAATTATGATGTAGCCCGTAATGTTGAGAGGTTCTGGGCTTTTTTGGGGGGTGGGTTTAATTTGTTTTCTTTTCAATTTATGATGATGAGTTAAAACTTTCCGGTTAAGGTCAGTGTTCTCTGTTGGGCAAGCACTCTGCACATTAATAATTGAACATAAATTCCTAGAAATCATTTCCCCTTCATAAAAATGTCAGTGCCAGGTACTTCCTGCATCTTTGACTATAGATTCTTGACCTATTGAAGGTTTTTTTTTGTCATGTAAAGTAAAAACCAATGAAGGTTGAATATCTCTGAGTATATAAGCTTTTATGTTCAATTAGATCATCAGTAGTTGAGTTGAGTTATTTGTTGAACAATTTATCCTTGCAGAGTTGTTCATTGATTACCTTAGTAAAATTTATCCTGTTTGCTGAGGAATTCCTGGTCCTGTCCCAGACTGATTGGTGTGTTTTATTGCAACACTTGACATCAACTTATATTGAAAAGACAATCTGCCCCCAATATCCTCCACCCATGTCACAGGGAGCTAAAAAAAATTCAGGCTTTATAAAAAATGAAATTTCTTTTTTGTTTCAAGTATCAATTAAAATGACACATTTTCAGCTGGCCTGAACTTTTTGAGCGCCTTGTGACGGGGGTCAAAAACTCTGTCGGTAACTGGAAAATTTTCACTTAAGCAGTAGATTTAAAATTTCTTTGAAAATCCTTGGGGAAATTTTGGAACCTTACAACATCAGGGGCCAAATACTGTAATTCATGATTATTGCCTATATGATATTTGGGGTTATCATAATTTTGTTTGGTCATATCTTACTCCAGAAAGAATTGAGGTTGTGCCCATTTTTAATGGTAAATAATTTTCAGACAAAAGCACCCCAATGAGGAGAAAAAAAATACCTGAGAAGAAAAATGCCCTCATGGGAAAGGCATCTGTCAACAAATAGGCTATGACCCTTGTTTTATGGAACCTAATTACTGTACTTCAGAACTAAAACTTATCTGGAAGGTTTTCGGGAGGATCAGTTTACTGAGAAAAGAATCTTCAGGCACTCGACCGTATTCACGCGAATATAAGCACCCCCTTTTTTCAATTTTTAGAAGTTCAAATACTAGGGGACGCGTGTATTTGCAAATTTATACATATTCGCATGAACAGATTTCTATGTCACAATAAAATGATAAAAGTCACCTTTGAGGGGTGAAAATGGGTCGGATGATTGAATTTTAGGTTGATTAGAGGTCTTTCCCCCCCCCCCCGAGTCTTTTTGCAAAAATCATCGGGGTTTCTATGCATCAGCCCACATTTGTGGCTTCCATTTCATTTTATAACTGTTTGAACGATTATTTGGGTGCTTTTCTTTCTGAATACAGTGAGACCCTAGATACGGACATGATTGGTGCATCAAGAGTGTCCCTAAGTTGAATTATCCCTAAGTTGAGTCTTGATTTCCCATAGACTTACAATATACAGTATAATTTTTAATTGGTGTTTTATGGGAGGAATATTCTTCAGAATTCCCTGAAAAAAATTTTGCCACTTGAATTTGAATTATTGAATACATTTTCAATTCAATAAGAACATTTGGAGCATTGAATAGTGTCTCTCTGTACTGTACATTGAAATATTTGCATCTACAAAAATAACATTCAAGTGAAAAAGTCCCTCTATGCTGGAGGTAATTTTTTAATATTAGCTAAATTGATGGTAACTTGGTGAGAGAAATGTCCACAAATTTGTCTGATGTCAATTTTAGGATTAGAAATATCTGTTTCTTGTAATTATGCTTGAAATTTATTTGCAGTTTTATTACAAAATGTCCGTTTGTTGAGTCAGTGTCCTCACGTTGGGCCTTTTTTATTAATTTTTTCTGGGGAAATAAGTTTTCCTATGTTGAATTGTCCATAGGTCAAGGTGTCCGCATGTGAGGGTCTCACTGTATTTTTTTTCCTATCGTTGATAAGATGTCGTGATGCAAAGAACAGATATTAATAGTGCCTTCATGATTGCCAATGTTTTTGATCTCGTGGACTTGATCAATGTACCAAGAGGTTGTTGAAAATTCTCAGAAGTCTAAAAATAAGGACTAATTTTTTCCTTGTGATGTACAACGTTATGTAATCCCTTTCAAGTCCTTTCCGGAAGACCGCATGACCCCGAGCAGGACTAACTCTGTGACCTGTTTTCCACATCCGACTAAGATTGGAATTCTGAGAACACTATTTCTTGAAGGATCGCATTCGGGAATTCAAAGTCAATGACATATGAGTGACGCACTTGCTTTGAATATGAGTTTGTTTCGAAATGGGTGACTTTCTTATCTATATCAAAAATCTAGGTTTTGGAATGGCCCAAGAAATAAAATTATGATGTGCACTCTTTCAAATTAATAATATGGTGAGACCCGAGATGCGGACATGATTGGTGCATCGAGAGTGTCCCTAGGTCAAAATTTCCCAAAGTTGAGTCTCATTTTCCCTTAGACTTACATTATATAATTTTTAAT